CCTCCTCACCTCATACCTGAAAGACCGTACCTACAGGGTGACTTGGAGAGGGTCTGAGTCCGACCCTTGTCAATTAACTACAGGGGGTCCCTCAGGGCTCTGTTCTTGGTCCCCTCCTCTTCTCCCTGTACACAAACTCGCTCGGATCAGTCATTAGCCCGCATGGTTTTTCATACCACTGCTACGCTGATGACACCCAATTAATTCTGTCCTTTCCCCGCTCAGAGACCCAGGTCGTCGCACGCATCTCTGCTTGTCTAGCTGACATCTCTCAGTGGATGTCTGCTCATCACAGCTCAACCTTGACAAGACTGAGCTGCTCTTCCTTCCGGGAAAAGATTGTCCCACTCTTGACCTAACAATCAACATCGGCACCTCAGTTGTTTCCCCGACTCAGACTGTAAGGAATCTGGGTGTGACCCTAGATAACAATCTGTCCTTCACTGGAAACATCGCTGCTACAACCCGTTGCTGCAGATACACGCTTCACAACATTAGGAAGATACGTCCCCAGCTGACACAGAAAGCGACTCAGGTTCTGATCCAGGCTCTCGTCATCTCACGCCTAGACTACTGCAACTCCCTCCTAGCTGGTCTACCTGCATGTGCCATCCGAGCTCTGCAGCTCATCCAGAATGCGGCGGCTCGTCTGGTCTTCAACCTTCCTAAATGTTCCCACACCACTCCGATCCTCCGCTCCCTTCACTGGCTTCCGGTAACTGCTAGAATCCACTTCAAGACACTGGTACTTGCTTACCATGCTGCGAATGGATCTGGCCCTTCGTACATCCAGGACATGGTTAAACCGTACACCCCAGCGCGTGCACTACGCTCTGCATCAGCCAAACGACTCGCTGCACCCTCGCTGCGAGGGGGACCCAAGTTCCCATCGGCGAAAACACGTGGGTTTGCTGTCCTGGCTCCAGGATGGTGGAATGAGCTCCCCATTGACATCAGGACGGCAGATAGCTTGCACATCTTCCGGCGCAAACTGAAAACTCATCTCTTTCGACTCCACTTCGAGCGATAGAACTATTAACGAAGCACTTTTATACTAATAAAGGACTGGCTTATCTAAAGCCAGTTGAGTAGCACTTGAAATGTTTGGCTCTATGAAACCTGATGTACTTATATGATTCTGTTTTCTTCAAGTTTGTATTTTGTTGGTCGAACACACTTATTGTAAGTCGCTTTGGATAAAAGCGTCAGCTAAATGCAATGTAATGTAATGTAATATTGCCAAATTCTGATAAAGTGAAACACCCCACTAGAAAAACAATATCAACTGGTTTTTCACTTAGAAATGCACAACTTAGTAATCAATGCTATCTGTGAGAATCTGAAAATCTCTGCATTATCATACATCCTTTTGGACTTTGAATTTGGTCTCTTTACAAGTAAATCCAAAAAAAGCCTTACTTAAGTAGTTTACAATGTTACAACCTTTTCAACTAGGCAGTTTGAGGGCTGGTACGATGCCACTGAGTTATTACAGTTCTTCCTGTTTTGACAGCCAAAGAAACAAATGAAAAGCTTGTTTCAGATTGGCACCAGCAATTTGCTAGTCTAAAACACGGCTGTGGTCCTTGACAGAAAATCAAAAGGAGCTTGAAGAACGAAACTAGTAATCGAAAAACAATACAGCATGAAACAGAAATGTTGAATAACTAGACACAACACTCATGGATGATACGGTGTTGCAAAGAATCACTGATCCTGGTAAGTTTTACTTTATAAATGTGGTGTTTGATACCGCAATTCGTTGGACTTGGTGTGTTTATTTTCCAAAAGAAGGCCATGTTTGACAGGTGTTTTGATTAGCAGTGACCTGGGTTTGCATCGTAACATATTATTCAGGACCAAAGGAGGCACAGTTCCGAGTTTGAGAATAAGTACTTTGGGAGAAAAATTCATTGTCATACCACAGGCTGAGGCCTATTCCGAACTGCCAGGTTTTGCAGAGGCACTGCACTTGTTGGACTTAATACGACTAACTAAATCTATCAAATGAAAGCTATTTGTGCTGGATCTGTAGTCTATATAGGCAACTGTTTTAGCCCTAATAAAGCTATTGTTAGTGCATTACTGCATTTTAATGCGAAATATAGCTAAATGCACAATAAGTTCAAAAGTTTGTCAAAAGTTTGAGTCCGTAACGCAGGACAATTCTCACACTCAACAATCTCAAACTTGGCTAAGTAACGGAAGTTATGCGCCATTGTGGCTGCTGCAGTGAACACAGCACTATAAAAACAAAAATATATAAATGTTTTTTTCTGTATTTAATAAATGTACCACTGTACTGGTATCAAAAAGAAGCCACCATTAGCAAGTTAGCTAGTTGGCAATTGTCACTTCCTGTGAGTTGTTAGCTAGCTAGTTAAAAAAACTGCTGTTATCTAGCTAGCTAACTAACAGCGGTAATGTTTTTTTCAGTATTTGATAAGTGTACCACTATACTGGTGTTGAAAAGAATCCACCATTAGCTAGCTAGCTGATAGGTGATTGTCACTTCCGGTGAGGGCAGACCACAACACTACCTGTTCTAAATGCACACACTGCGCATGTCTTACCAGTGTACGAGAGGCAGTGTACTAAGGGAAGTGTCTGGATTGGGACAGCATACAATTTGGTTTTAAATGAAAAAGAATATAGTCACGTTTCTGTATATTGTATACAACACTGTATACAATATTTAAATGTAGCTGTAAGTTGTTTGTGAGATATAGGCTATATATCATGTTTCACTGCTGCAGACTACACTTCCCACATTGCCATTTATAGTACCCTCTTAAATACATGTGTTTTGAACATTTCCCTGATCAATGGCTAAAGAGAGAGAGAAGATTCGATACAAATTAATTATATCACTTCCATCCAGTAGATCCATATTATGTGTCTGTAGGGTACAAAGCCACTGTCCATTTACTGTACCTTTGCCAAGATAAAAGCACTATTATTCACCTTTGTATTCACTCTCCCATTTATACACATCCATTCATGATTTCCCAACCCTTCTCTTATTTTCTCTCACTGCCTTCTTCTTTTCTATTTCAGCCCATTTCCCTGCAGGGTATTCTAAGACCTAAATAGGTCCCCTACCAGATATTAAGTCTTTCTTTTCAGAAGAAATACTCACCTGCCACTCATTTTACTCTTCACAAAATGTTCTAAAAAACACAGAACAATGATGAATACCACTAGGTTTTTCTCGACAGGTCAACACATTGCTACTATGTTTTAAAGTGACCCCCAAGGTTAGGCACATTTTTGTAACTAGGGAAACTCATTAAGGCCTCCATATTTCTCCAAAGTCAAATAAAACAACATGCATGAACACAAATGTGAGCCTGAATTATTCTGTGTGCATCATGAGCCAAAATAAGAACAAGCAAGACACTGTCTCATAATTCTGGTTAGCACAGATGTTCTAATAACAGTTGAACCCCCTGGTCTCTGTGCCAAACGCTGCTCATCATCTCCTTTCCCTCTGCCTCTGGAAACAGAAACTGTCTAACTCACTTAGGCTACAGTGATAACCGTGTCAACAATTTAGACACAAAGTCAACAAGGTGAACAAATATAGTGGATCCAAATAGATGGATGACATGACAAATAAATGGTTTGCTATTATTTTTGACTAAAATTACGATATGATAAGCGATATAAGTAACCATTAATTAAACATTAAATACATTATCATTGAAAAAATATGCTTAATTTATCATGGTGGGATTTTTTTAACAGGACTGTTCTACTAGTTGAAGATCATTTAATTTAATTTTAGTCAATCGCATAACATAATTAGATTAAAAATCACAATACATCGCAGTAACGCTTCGTAAACCTTGAATCAATTTAATGTCTCCAGATTTTTACATACAAGGCCCTAATTTGTGAATGTTTTACTTTATCTCAGCTGTTTATTTCTTGAATTGTGGTCTACAGTGGATTCTTTTTTGTTCTTTTTCGGCAACCAAAGCTTCAAAGAAAATGATGAGTGTGGCGAGTAAACCAAAACAGTGAAGTTACAGGCTGTAAAATCTAAACAGTGCGCTTAAAGTTAAGTTGGCTGATATTTTTGGGTGGATTTATTTTCCAAATGTAATAATGCAACTTGGGCTGAATGGGAAATGCTCTACAAGTGTCCACATAGGGGGAAAAGTATAAAATATCTCAGATTACTTAGTAGTCTAAAGTTCAAGTAGAATCATAAAGAAATCACTAAAGTGCACTCTGCATACAGATGGAGGGAGAGAGGGAGAAACGGCAGTGAAAGAGAGAGGGAGGCGCAGCTGGTGGCAGCCAGAGGACCATCTGTTCATCACTCTATTAGTCCACACACACACACACACACACACTCACAAGTGCACACACACATCTTTTCCTACGCTCACACTTATTCTTAGACGCGCACACATACAGACGATGCACCTATAGCACGCCTCTTTTTCCGCTCCTTTACAGTTTTTCTTTCTATCCTGTGTTTATGACACCAGAGACCCTGTGAGACAGCGCTCACACACAGATTACACACCCCCACCAACAGCTCGCCCAATCTCTTCATGAGTTCATAACACTGTTCATAGATGTCACATGCTACGACAAAACTGTGAAGTTTTTTTGAAAATATCCACACATTGTTAAAATATTCTCTTTATTCCATAACTGTTGTTGTTCTGTATGGAAGATTAGCAACCAGGGATGTATAAACACATAAGCACATCACATTTATCTGAAACAGCCAGTCCTTTAGTTGATTTATGGATCTATAGAACTTAATCAACATCAATTTTGCAAACTAATTAATTGTTGAAGTTTTTCAAAAGGAAATGTATCAAATATCGAGCATGGGCATTTTGCATTTAGTTGTACAACATTTGAAAAATGAAGTTGCCATCATGGCCTTTCCCTCTATTTTCTGGTAGCACAAAAATAAATTATATTTCAGTTATCCACAGCAGCTTACACCCAAAGTCTACCCATTTCCCATTACATACCATACATCTTTCCTTCATCCGACAGTATAATCTTCCTCCGTCCACAGGGCGGGTAGATTGCCAGGGCCTCCTGAAAGCTCTGCTCGATATCGGGGCTCCAGACCCCCTCAGGGTCCCCATCCATTGTTTTATCCCCTCCAGAGTCACTTAGTCTTTCCATGTCCTCCCCCGGACTCTCACTGCCGCTCCAGCTACTGCGATCCATATTGGCAGCTAATGCTAACCAGCTGACGTATACTCAGCGCTAATGCTATTGGTAAGGTGATAATAGTAACCTAGCGCTGACGTTATTGCTAATGGCAATAATTACCTCCAAGCGGAGACAGCCAGCTACGAACAACTAGGGACAGAATGCTAATGCTAGCTGCTGATTCGAGAACGGTAATCCCAATTTGTGACTACCAATAATAGTATCAAAAGTGTCTGGTACAGGGGAGACAACTCAGCAAGCTGGTCCAAATCCCTCTTCAGAAAGCAGGAACCCTAAATGAAAAAAAACAGAATCAAAAAATATCGGGTGAGCTACAAGAAGTATATGTCCGTAGCAGAGAGGTTAGCACATTCCACATTACCGCAACATCCTGCGTTTACTTTTTGCATGTGATACTCCTTTCTTCCCCTTCAAAATTTAAATATTGTACATTTCTAAAAGGCAACTTTACATTTGTCACTCCTATATTAGCTAGATGCTAAATAGTTCCAGCAACTAAATGATGTGTGTTTTTGGGTATGATTCTTTAGCCGTAAAATATGTCAAAGCGAAATTTCTCCCATGGCTAAGCTACATGCTAACGCCTTGTTTTGAATTTCAAATGGTTTGAGTTTTCAGCCACAAATATAGCATATATTTTAACCAAATCTATATTTTCATCAGGTCTACCTAACAGCAAGAGTTTTCAGTTTGAAGGTAATGTCCTTCAATGCCCTAAGGCAGCGGTTCCCAACCTTTTTCAACTCAGGGTCCACTTAAGAATCTAAAAGATGTTTGTGGCCCACATTCAACCATTAACAATACGGAGGCTAAATAAAGTTCTGATTGGTCAATTCAGAACATGTGACACGTTGTTAATTCAGTAATACAGACCACTGTAATGACCGTTGTTTAGGAGGATCAAGAAAGAGAAAGGAAAAGAGGTTCAAATAAAAAAATAATCTTAATAATGAAATGTTTCCACACATTGCAAATTATTTGGCGCCCCACTTGCAATGCGTTTGCGGACCACTAGGGGGCCGCGGCCCACAGGTTGGGAACCGCTGCCCTAAGGAACAGATCTAATGTTGATTGATTTCTCTGTACGGAGTGCTGCTCATTGCTGTTCAGGATTCCACTTTTAAGTTGTGATTTTCCCCTACCCATTCAAACTTATGATCGCTAAAACCCATCATTTCAGAAAAAGGGCAAATCGAAAGAATATAGGTTGGTCTATGGAGCTCTGGAACCCAGATTCACGCTGATATTAAGTCTGTGTTTTTAACAGGAGCAGTGCAGCTTGAAGTTCTGAACATATTGTAGTCCTGCATCCAAGCTGCTAGGGGAACATTATTGCTTCTTTTCATGTAGGAAATTGCCTATTTTGTTAAAACGCTGTGGTAGTCCAACATTAAATCCACATGCACATAAGTGGAGCAAGTGGACAGACAGATAGACCAGTACGACACACAGCTACTAGCAGATTCAGGGATGGAAAAAAATAAAACTGAAGGGGCTTGCCAGCGGCCTACAATTCTTCTAAAATCCCCATCAGTAAACAGCAGGCTTGGCGAAGTACACAACATAATCACACACCAACATATGCACACACACACAATTTTGGTGCCAGCTCCTTGGGCGAACACATGTCATTTTGTCTGGTCTTTTACTGTTCACACTTCCCATACACTGTCACTTGCCACAGCCTGCAGAAGCCCGAAGTGTGTTTCAGTCCATGTGTGTGTGCCTGGCTTATTTTAGCACAATTACATTTGACAGCACACACACATGCAACTTAAGCCTGTAAATCAGCGGGCAACCTTTTGGACACATTTTAATAAACTTGAGACCAGTTCAATGTTTTATCACACCTGGGGCAAAATGTTGCGATGCCGCAATAAAACTTCCTTTGGCTTGACTCGCAGCCATGTGTAATGAATGAGATCTGCTGGATTTGCTTGAGTTTGTCCTCTGGTTCTCTCTTCATGCTTATTCTATTCACCCTCATTTCCGTTTCCACTCCAACTTCCTACCCTTGCTTTCTTCCCCTCTTCCCTCCTGCCCTCCCCCAACAGTTTTCCATTCAAAAGACTCATTCATTCAACCTATGGTTGAGCACCAGCAGAAACAAGATTTGTTTCCTCTTCACAGAGAGAGTGTGACAGTGTGTGCGCAAAAGTTAAGTATCCCTTTTCAAAAGTAACAGAGGCTGTGATCATCCTAACTCACCATAACTCCACTGATGACACGTTTTAATGGCGGATATAAAGGATCGAAACATCAGTAGAAACTTTTCAAACCACTTCTGCAGTCTAATCCTATTAGAATTCTTAGCATGTTCTCGTCAATCAACATTTCACCAAAGTCTAAACTAATAAACTACTTCCATTTGTCTAGCAAATGGAAAGTGTTTCAGCAAGAACGCTCTGATAAACACACATTAAACTACCTGGCCAGCACCTGTTAGACAAAGTTTGAGACAAGCTGATAATGTAGTCCAGAATGAAGCAGAGGCAGAATTTCCTCAGATATGGAGAAGACCAAAACAGAACTAAAAGAAGCCATTATTGAAGTTATGTTCATTTGATAGACAAAAACATGCCTCCACGTCAGTGCTAATTATGCCACATGTCTGCTTGACATGTAAATAAGCAATGTCATGTTAAGGAGTCGGCAACAAAAGCTTAAGGGAAGTCGGTGGTATGTTTTCAGATTCAACGCCAAAAAATGCTCCAAATATTATTTAATTAATCATATCATCAATTTGGTAACATTGTCCCTGCAAATAAAATACAACTGAGACTTCATGTGCTTAAGGGTCATAATGGTTTGTTGTGCCAGTTATTGTCCATGAATCACTAAAAAGTAATCTTCACAACAACAACAAAATATTACTTTAAGCACAAAAGTAGAACTGAACAATCACACTACTTTTGATGAATTCCTAAAAAAAAAACTCACAACTTTGACGAGACATGTCAGTTGAGACACATGCCTACACAAAGTGACCACCTGACATTTTGACTGAACAATCGTGTCTCAATGTCACTTGTCTGCATTCACATCTGTACCTAGAGCTGTCTATTTGTGATTAGGTCACAAAAGAAGCATCTTAATACCAGGTCTGAACAAGGCCATATCGACAGTCAATGTCACACCTAACAGCAATTAAGATTGACCAATTAACCTTATTAACCTAGCATGCATGTTTTAGGACTTTGGTGGAACCCCAGAGAAAAACCACGAAAAAGGACTGCTGAATATTTTGTTTGTGAGGCAACAGTGCTAACCACCAGCAAGGCACAATGCAAATGTTATTATAAATCCCATTGTAGTTTAGCTGGAGCCACACAAGGACGATAACGCAAACGGACCGAAATCTATATCAAAAAAGTCTTCCGTCCACACGCAATAGGCACCAGAAACGTGTCCGTTCACACGAGACCTCTCAAAAGCGCTAGAGACGCTGTAGTGCATATGCCGAGCCTGTAAGTGGCGCTGTACTCCTACCACAAAAGCAGTGAAGAAGACTTCATGGTTGCCATGGTTGCCCTTCTGTTTATTCTCCGCTGTGGACGCTCTGGCTCTTTTTCTCCCTCCTCGAGGCAAGTGTATGCTCCTGCTGCTGTAATTCTCTCCGGTAGTCCACCAGCAGATGAAAAACACCCACCTCTCTTCCAAGGGACGAGGGGACCGTTAAGGCTATTGCTTCAACGTTATCAGAAAATTATCGTATAGGCGTAATCACGGAGCCGTTTGCCCCCCCAGAGCGTTTCGTTCGCAGATCTACCCACCTTGGGACCCGTTATTGTTATTGTTATCGTATGCATTTCCATGTCTACCGTCTATATGAAAGAGAACTGTAGCGGATATGACCGTTATCGTCCTCGTGTGGCTGGGGCCTAAGGCTGCTTTTATGTGAGGTTTACAAATTATTTAGTTAGGTACATTCTCAACAATGCAGCTTATCAACCAGAGAGCTGAGATCATATTAAAAAAGAAACTGGAGCCTCTTGTCGGTTCAAAGCTTTATCTTTTAGCTCAGGTTTTGGTCTCTATCAACTATGGACAAAATGTAAGAGCAGTGAGAGTGAGGTAAAAACTGAAAAGAAATCAGGGATCAGAAGGTATTAGAATAAAACAGAAACAGGAGAAGGCTTCATGGAGAAGAGACACATCTAAGAAATACTAATTAATAATGTATGTATCTGTAATGACTTTGAAGATGCTTATGATTGTGAAAATCAGGGATCAGTAGGTATTAGACAAGAGACAAGAAGACACGTAACATTACGATACAAGAGAAAGGGAAGAGAAGGGAAGGCTTTATAGTTAACAGACAAATCCAACAAATACTGTTTAAGAATGTATCTGTAATGACATTAAAGATGCTTTTAATGAGAGGAATCAGAAATCAGTAGGTTTTAGAGAAAAGAAGAGATAAGAAGAGGAGACGGGTTCAGGTTAACAGTAGAATCCCTACTGAGGCTCAGGAGATTCGAGCATGAGAGGGGCCCAGCAGCAGATGGAGGCTGGAGAGAGACATTAGTCACACAACAATCAACTGTGACTGGGCGACTCCTGTGCCCCCTTGCTGCCCCTCCTCTGTGTCCCTGTCACCAGGCAAGCCCGGGCCACTGCAGCCAGGACAGCAGGCTCCATGGTGTCAGTCCCAGCCCTCAGGAGAACACACACAGGGCGCCCAGCCACAGCCCTGCAGCTGCCTTGGACTCTCATGCTCTCCCTCTGTGTCGCCTTTCTTCCTCTTTTCACTTACTGGCTTCCACCACATGCCAACTCGATGTATGTGTGCAATGTGCATGGCTCTGAGCCTCCGTATTACCAGCGAGGTTGTAATGAAATGTAATGCAAGAGATGTGCCTGCATTACAAGAGGGTCTTAGGTGTTTGTGTATGTGTGTGTGTGTATGTGTGTGTGTGTGTGTGTGTGTGTGTGTGTGTGTGTGTGTGTGTGTGTGTGTGTGTGTGTGTGTGTGTGTGTGTGTCAGCAGGGGGTCCTGTTGGTAGACAACTTGAATGTGTTATCACAGGCTAGTCAGTTCCTTTCACTCATTCTTCTATTGGAACACTGAACGGCATCTGTTTTAACTGCTTCCAACGTGTGCACGCACGTGCGCACACACGCACACACACACACACACACACACACACACACACACACACACACACATACACATACACACACACACACACACACACCACACACACACACTGTATACAACAGGATTTTCTCATAATCCTCAAAGCAAACATTGTTCCACTTTATAATGTTC